TCTCTCTCTCTCTCACACACACACACACACACACACACACACACACACACACACACACACACACACACACAGTAGTCTTCCCTTCAGGGTTCTTATTATCTTAAGGAAAAAGCTACAACTGTGTGATGCTGGACTAATAAACATTCTAGGAAAGCAGCTGACAGTTTCTGTGGCTTAAACTTGGCCTTTTTTTTCATGTGCAGAATTTGAGAGGGAAAAATGTCTTTGTCAGGAGAAGTAGTAAAAGTAACTTTATACTACTACATTATTCTTAAAGTGAGCGATAATCATGATATTTACATAGTTGTTAAAAGTGCAAACTAAATAGAAAGGATTTTCCTTGACCCCTAAAATCCCCCTTGAGCAATGGAGAATAGACAATAATAGTTCCTTTTCATAAATATTACATGTGTGTGAGTGCTTCAATTTCTTTTTATCTAGTCATGAGTGCATGTGCTTTGAAAACAAACAAGAAAAAGTATTTGCCACCGCTGAGGACAGAAACTGGTATTTTGAATTCTTAAGTAGGATTTATAGTTTTATATTTTACTTTGTCTGAATTTAACATCATTTTTGGAATCTGAAGCTTCAAATGCTTGACTGAATTTTTTGATTCTTTAGTTTTCTATCTAAAAAATTAGAGCTATAGAAAACAACCTAAATAACTTTTTAAAGATTGTTATTAGCAACTGAGAAAAGAGAGGGAAAGTTTAGAATTTTAGTGTCTATTTTCATATCTATGGACTGTCTCATTTCACTGTGCTGTTTTAATATGGAGCTTCAGTTCTCTTGCAAAAAGATCCACTTACCAAGCTGTGATTTTAAAGTATTTTTGAAACTATAGAGCAATTTAGGATTATTTTCTCATTATATCCTTTTTATCTAATTAGCCTTAACAATTTATGTTTAGTCTTATTAGGCATATGCCATTGTAAATGTCATGATCTAGGAAGTTCTTAGGAGGAAGTTAACAGACTATCACGTTATTTGTCTTCTTTCATCTCAGTTCTGTATTGTAGACTATGGTTATAATATTAAGGAAAAGCAACAGTTTCTCCTTTTAGATAGGAACTTGCTACTACTCCTAAATATCTCTATTCTCTGAGAGCTATAAAGATTTCCTCTGCTTTCAAGCTGCCTCCAGAATTGGAAGAAAGAGGACTCTCATGTTTTAAGTAGAAGCTTTCTTTGGGACAGAAGTGATAGTTGTCACACTTATTTAGCTTATGGGAGGATATAATGCCTGAATTTTCCTCTCAAATTATATGGCATTCAGTATTTTTTTTAGTTGATATTCTGTGAATAGTAGAAGTCTTCTTTAAAATTTTTATTTTGATGGTCAGATGAAAAGAATGCCCATTAGAAATAGTTATTGGTAGATTTGATATGAATTTGAAAATACTTTATACCGTAATATAAAAAAAAAAAAAATGCCAAAGGAATGACTCAGAAAGGTCTATAAGTAACCTGGTTCTCTTCCTATTTTTTACTCATTTTCCCCCTTTCTATTCAGTTTGCATATCTTATTTCATCCTCTATGAGAAAAAAACAAACCTATTATGGGGCAAAATATTTTAAAGTGATAAATGTACCTTATAATTTCATTCTAAGTTCTTTGGAGAAACATGCTTGATTTGATAAGTAATTATATCTTATTAAGCAGGTGATGTTTGAGAGAGATCAGTCCTGGACCTACTTCTTTTGCTTTGATAGTCTTTTTATCCTTGCCTATTAAATAAAAGTCACACTAGTGGGTTATCTACCTAATAGAATGATCTCTGGATCTTTTAAGATGGGGTGAATATTCCTATTCATACTTAATTCATATAATTTGTCTTGTTTTTATTTTTAGAACAACTTTTATTAAATAAAAGAGCAGGATAATACATTGAGAGCAAAGAACCATGCTTCAAGCTGTAAACTGAATAATTGTGCAGATGTTTTTTTCTTTCCTTCCTTACCCATTGATATGTTGGGAAATGTCTTTATTCTGGGCTTCCAGAATAAGACTAAAAATATGAAAAGTCAAATATTAGTATTAATGTTTAGGCATATTATTAGCATAATCACCACAGTCAGAGTTAGAAGCTCAGTGTAATCTTAGTTATAACTAATCTCATATTAAATTATGTTCATTGTTATATTTCCTGTTTCTATCTTTTCCTATTGCAAAACTTTGATTTGCCTTTTATTTGTGTGTATAGTATGTTTATACACATGCATGTGTGTGACTAGTTCTACATTTATTAAAAATAATTTAAAAACAAACTTCCTACAAAAAAAGCTTTAGCCCTAGATGGTTTTAGTGGTGAATGAATCAGATTTTTAAAGAACAAAAGTTTATTCAATTCTGTATCTATTTATATATTTTGTGTGTGTGCGTGCGTTCTTGTGTCAATTTTCAAAGCTTATTTGTTTAACGAATTTCTTTCCTCTAGTTGAATTTATTAGCATAGTTGCTTATAATATTTCCATTTTAGCCTTTTAATGTTCATAGATTATATTGATTGATGTCCCCTTTTTCATACCTAGTATTCGTAATTTGAGTTTTCTTTCTTGAACTTAGGGATATATAAATTTGATAAGTTATTGGTTATCTTTCTGTTAGTCTAAATATATTTTTATTGATTTCAGAGAGGAAGGAAGAGGGGAGAGAAAGATAGAAACATCAGTGATGCAAGAGAATCATTGATTGGCTGCCTCCTGCACACTCCACACTGGGGATCGAGCCTGCAACCTGGGCATGTGCCCTTGACTGGAATTTAACCTGGGACCCTTTAGTCCGCAGGCCGACTCTCTGTCCACTGAGCCAAACCAGTTGGGGCCTGTTAGTCTTTTTTATGTCATGTTTTTTTGCATTTTTTTTCCTTTTATCCTTTTTGTTTTTAATTTGCTATTTTTCTTTTTATGGCATAAACTAGGATTACTTTAAATATTTTTTGTTCTCTAATATGCATTTAATTTTCTGCTAAGTATGCAGATTTTTCTCTACATATGTAGCTTTGCTACATCCCACAGATTTTATATTGTGCTTTTATTATTGTTCAGTTTCACTCTTTCGGGTGTAAAAACCTGAAAACATATCCTAGTTTCAGAGTAAAAAAGACGAAAGGTAATTTAATTTTGGTTGAAAACTATTGTAAATATTTTAGTCCAAATCAAATTTTAAACAAATTCTACTTCTCTAAGCACATAGAATTTTACCTTTATCACCAGCCATTTTCATGCACTAAATATATGTGTGTATAATTCTTGGAAAATATGTTTAAAATATACTGCTAATGGAAGACATGAATAATTATTTAGTGGTTCCCTTTTATAATCAAATTAATTTGGGTTGCTTATCTAGTGATTTCCTTCGTCAATGCATTCTTGAACCCTAAATATTTATGATCTACATTTTTTTCTTATGATAAAAATCTGTTAGAAAGACTTTGTTGTATTCATGGGACTGCTAAATTTGTATGTATGTTAGAGAACACTTTAAAGTGAAATAAATTTCAAAGTATTATCATATCTGAAATAAGTATAACATTTGGATCTGTCATTTTTAATCAAAAATTAGCATTCATGTTGTTTCTCTACCTTATATTATTCCTTTTTAAAATATAGAATTATTTATTTAAAGTCCAACTTTAGAAAGTTGAACCATTTAATTACAATTAATATTGTTTTTAATAGATCTTGATGAAGTTCATTTTGTAAAGTAAAACAGCTCATTTTGAAGAGCTTTCTTTCCATTGATCACAAAAAATATTGACATTTGCTTTCTATTAGTCCTTATTTCTGATAGCAAATACTTGTTAAGATAAATCTTACTAAAGAACAAGAAAAAAGTTATCATCTTGCTTGAACCCCTGTATCCTTCACCTACTAAATGAAATATCTCCTTTAAACTGGCATTCAAGGATGAGTACTCTCACCTCAAAGTGCTTTTCCAGCTTGACTACTTCTCAAATTTATTTTTCCTACTTCCTCTTATGTTTTTTTTTCTCCCACTTGAAAAATATACTCAAAACCATGTCCCTACAAATAGTTTTACTTTTATTTATTTTTTTAAAATATGTTTTATTGATTTTTTACAAAGAGGAGGGAGGATAGAGAGTTAGAAATATCGATGAGAGAGAAACCTCGATCAGCTGCCTCCTGCACACCCCCTACTGGGGATGTGCCCGCAACCAAGGTACGTGCCCTTGGCCGGAATTGAACCTGGGACCCTTGAGTCCGCAGGCTGACGCTCTATCCACTGAGCCAAACCGGTTAGGGCAATATTTTTACTTTTAAATATCCTGCCCTTTCTAATGCTCTCAGTAAGCACTGCCACCTTCCAATTTCACTACAGATGCTATTCAGTTTCACTTGAGGATTTAAGAAATTACCCATTTATAAGCTTAGACTACTCCCTCCCTCCACCATACTTCTGAAGCATTGGGAAGTTTTCATTTGGATATGTGCCCCAGTTGCATACAGAGTTCTTATCTTTTCTGATGTACATTCCTGGAGAGCAGGGAGTGTATTTATCAGGTCACTTTTATTTCTTTGTCCCCACATGGCTAGCATCATGATTGCTGCAGAGGATGTGCCTTCTAATAGGGTGCACTCCCAAAGGGCCAGCTCAGCTGCGGAACCAATTCCAGAGGGAGTGGCTTTCTGTTTTGCACATGTGCAGAAGCCCTGCCTATCCTTTCATATAATTGACAAGTATAATTAATTCAAGACATGATATGCAAGTAATGCTTGATGCCTTTGCCCTTCCTGTAGTCTGCAAGTGGTTTTTTATGTTCTCTTATCTAGTTAGTCATTTTCTTTCTGCTACCAGTTTCTAAAAGTTCTTCCAGTTACATATCCAGTCTGACGATCCTCAGACATTAGATTCTTGTTGCTTTCCATAAAAATTTGAAGTGACCTAGTGTTTGTGGTTTAATTGTTATATTACTGTTTATTTCTAAGTCATTTCTCAGACTGCTTCTCTCTTGAATCTAACTAATTAAAACCTCAAACTATCTGAATTTCCTTTCACTTTTATGCATATGTCACCTTCATTGTTAAGGCTTTGAATTTGTCATTGCTGTTTTTACTCTTTTTTCAGATCTGAGATTCAAGTTATATTTGTTCTTATATTTTAGGTCGTTCTTCCCTCTTCCCAATCGATGATGGCTTGCTGGATGATGGTCATAATGATCAAGTTGGGGTTTTAAACTCACCCACATGTTACTCAGCTCATCAAAATGGAGAGCGAATAGAACGCTTCTCTCGAAAAGTTTTTGTTGGTGGTCTCCCTCCAGATATTGATGAAGGTAAGTTGATGATTTGGTGCTATTCTCTTTCACAACTAATAGATTATTCTGTGTATTAATCAATGTAATAAGATTTCTATGGCCTGAAATTACCTGGAGCATATATTGGATTTGGCCTATATGTGTTTCAATGAAACTACCTGACCTGTGTCAGACTGTAGTATATTTTATGAGTATTATAGATTTTTCACATCTTGTTTCAGCATTCCTTTTTCTACAAGATTTTACTTGTCAAGCAGTAATTGAACTCTTTATTTAATTTAACATAATGTTGGCATGTTTTTCAAGCTAATGATATTTAAGGATTGGTAGTCTGTATATTCATTATTATCCATATAATTTTATGTTGATTATTCTGATAAATGTGCTACTTTAAAACGAATTTATTTGGACAAAATACCTATTTTTATGAATAATTTTAATAAGGATATTGAGCATGTTTTTAGTATTTATATTCTAGCTTATTTTAGGCCATTTGGTACTTTCAATGTTAAATATTTAAAGTAACTTATAAAATATGGGGTTTTAGAATGAATTATTAAATTAATTCCTAATGCATATTATTATACTTTCCTTAGATGAAATTACTGCTAGCTTCAGAAGATTTGGGCCTCTGGTAGTAGATTGGCCTCATAAAGCAGAAAGCAAGTCCTATTTTCCACCAAAAGGTAAGGGTTTTTATTGCTGATATTTGCTAGGGAATCAATTATATCTAAGCAAAAGAGACAATATAAATTACTTAGTGTTTTCTTTTCTATTAAAACTGAACTGAATTTAAAAGGTGCTTTGCAATTTAGATAAACAATTGTTGAACAGACTTCCAGGCAGGAATTGAAATATAATTTTAAAAAGGAATTAGAATTGGTTTTTGTGGTGACATAAACATTTTTACATGAATCTCATATTCTTTTAAGGGGATGGTGAACTATAAGCCTAGGAAAATGGGTTGGCACAAATTTAATGAAACAGAATACTTGCTGTCTTTGTGACTGTTGTCATTGTTACTGTGTGTGTTTTTAATATTTTTATTGATTTTTAGAGAGAGAGAGAGGAAGGTAGATTGCGAGTGAGAGAGAAACATTGATGTGAGAGAGCAACATCAATCGGCTACCTTCTGCACGTTCCCTATGGGTGACCGAGCCCGCCACCCGGGCATGTACCCTGACAGGGAATCAAACTGGCATCCTTTCAGTGTAAAGGGCGATGCTCAGCCAACTGAGCCACAACAGCCAGGGCTGTTATTGTGGCTTTTGAGGTGGTTGTCAGTTGATTTCCTCAAACTTACAACAATATATATATATATATATATTAGTATGGCAAATCATAGTTTTGGGTTTTGTTTTGTTTTTTTTGTATAATTATAGTTAATTGTAGCATTGCCAAAAACCAGTATTCCCAAACCTTGTTCTTTAAGCATTTTTATCATTCCTGTAATTCATATTTTTTCATGGTTTGGAAAACACTGGTTGTAGAAGCATCCAGTTTGTGAAGCTAACATAATTAAGGCAGTGACTTGAGCCCTGGATACTGAGCCACACATGTATGTATGTTTCACTTTGCAGTATATGAGGTTCATCTGTGTGAATATTAGCTTCCTCTAATAAATTCTAGAGAACCATAGATGGTTTGTTTTTGGTAAGAGTATTTTCATCTTTAATGGCTTTCCTTAGCTAGATCATAGTTTATTTGCCATGTTTGCTTAATTAATTTTTGTAATATAAACATTTCTTCCCTAATAATCACAAAAATAATTAAGCACTATTAAAAATTTTGAATTTAAAATATTGTTTTAAAGTTAAGTACTGTGAAAATAACTTATATCAAAAAATAATATCACAAAACATAAGCAGCATTAAAATATTGAATTTAAATATTGTTTTAGTAAATTAGCCTTATATTTTCTTTATTATTATAAAACAGTTATATATTTCAAATCAAATGCTCAGCTTTGTATCAAAATTAAAGCTTTCACTTAAAGAAAACCAGTCTTTATTTTTAAAATTTTTTTCAAGCATGTTTAAATTGCTTCTAGTAATTAAAATAGTTCTAAAATCCATTTCTTAATCTTGCATAATTGTACCTTTGGAAATTTCTATTTGTGTGGGTTCGTTTGATGTCTTATTTATGCAATCGAGTAATGTAATTTTATTAAAATGAAGTACTTCTGTGTCACATCAGACCTTTGTGGCAGTAAAAGCCATTGTTGGCAGCAAGCAATGTTTTTGATTTCTATGTAAAACATGACCTCATGCTTCCCTTTGTTTATTGGAACAGATGTGCATGGACTGCTTGATGGCTTCTTCATATTAGAACTGGGTGGCAGTCTCCATGTTTGTTTGCACAGGAATCTTGTCAAGGAAAGGGATGTTTTGAGATCATTCATAGCTATCAACTGCTGGGAAAATCACAAAGTAGTAAACCAGGAATGTAAATGTTGATGCCATTTTATAATGAAGTCTGCTTTGCCTGTTGGATGCATGGCTGATTAAAGATTGACAATTGGTATCCCAAGGAAAGGAGAAAGTGCTTATTTCCCAATGAAAGAGGAATTTAAGCAAGAGCTTGGATTTACAAGTCTAAATAGTCTCTAGACTGAAAAAATTGTTTGTCCAAGTTGAGACTTGATTTAAAAGTTCTGACCCACCCTGAAGGAACCAGTTTTATTCCAGCCTCCTTAAGATAGTTTTTTAGTATCATGTGAAAGTTGTCAAGTTGCCTGGGGAATTTTCTCTCTGTGTATGGAAATTCCTGGGCCTTTCCAAGTGTTCTGTAGGCCAAAAGTGTGCTCTAGATCTTCATACCCTAAAGGCATTTATAGGAAACTTCAGGCCCTAATATTTTCAACTGATTAATCATTCCAAATGGTTTGAGAAGGCAGTATCACTACTAGAAAGAGAATGGGACAGGCCAGAATTTGAAGTTATTCAGCCAGTTACTTGCTGATATGACTGATGTCGAACAAGTAATTAACAACTTGATACCTCAGTATTTTCTCTATAAAGTGGAAATAATGTTTCACAGACTTGTGAGCATCAAATAAAATAGTTAATATAAAACTTTTAGCACAGTAAGTAAGTGCTGCATATAAAGTAGCTAATTTACTGAGTATATGTTTTCATGGGCATTCCAATAGTATATTGTGTTCTATAGAAAATATAATGATGCTACCTCTATTTATAAGATTTTTCCTTTAATAAAACTTATATTTTCTAAACAGTAATGAAATTTGGGGTGCAATCACTTACCTTAACATATTGCCTCATTGTTCATAATTATTACAGGCTATGCGTTCCTTCTCTTTCAAGAAGAGAGCTCAGTTCAGGCACTGATTGACGCTTGCATTGAAGAAGATGGAAAACTCTATCTGTGTGTTTCCAGTCCCACCATCAAAGACAAACCAGTAAGTAATCACCACATGAACTCTAAGCTACAAAGATAAAGTTTTCCAAAAACGTTTTGAAATGATTGTTAGTGGAAAACAATTAAACCACCATGTCAGTTTGAATAATTTATAGTTCCTAGATAATTTGTTTCTAAATCTTACTATCCAAAATTTTAAACAATGAAAAATCCAGTGCTGCAAAACAGCATAAGCTGTAAAGCGAATAAGACCCAATAAAATAATGTCCTTTTCTTAATAGGTTCAGATCCGTCCTTGGAATTTAAGTGATAGTGATTTTGTGATGGATGGTTCTCAGCCTCTGGATCCCCGGAAAACAATTTTTGTTGGAGGTGTTCCTAGACCACTAAGAGCTGGTAAGTAGAATACTAACAAATTGTGTGCTTTAAAAAAATCATTTATGAATTAGTTGAGTAAATATTTGGTAGCTGTTGAGTACATGGCGTGTTGGTCAGGTGAGGGGCAGATTCTTCATGCTCCAATAGTTGCTAACTACAGAATTCTGAGAACCATTCTTGAAACCATCAAGTAACTAGAGAATTGAGCAGTTATCTATCGATATTAATAGCTAACTCCAAACAGACTCATAAGGAAAATCCACTCAAATACTTCTGACTTCCTAAGTGTAACTTGCTAAAATATGAGAATTTGGGATCTGTCTATTTTATGTGGATTGATTTTTATATCTGAGGAAGAAATTTGGAATTTAAAAAAGTATCACTTTAGATAAGTGATAAATGTATGTTGTCAATAACCAGGAACCAGAGATTTACTGGAAGATGTCATAGAGAAACGTAATTATAGATGTAAATGTCCACTGTACAAGCTCATTTTAGGATACTATATATCCTGTGAAAGTATAATTAGTGCCTTCCATTACTGCATCTTCATCCAGTATGGGAGATTTAGGTTAAAGAACCATTCTGAAATATAAATAGTAATAGAACATAACTGCTACAAGGAAAGACTGTAAAGAATAGAAGAACATATGGCAAGGGAATGTGATATAGTCTGATGCTTTAAATATACTTGTATTTGAGCTGACTTGTAAAGATTGCACAGTAGTAGTTTGGGGTGGTCAGGAAGGTTATAAGGAGTTCTCAGATAAAGGGAACAGCATATTCAAAGGTCTTCAGTGGAGGGAAGCAGAATGCATTGGAGGGACCAAAGAAGCCCAGAGTGCCTGACCTGGGGGTATAAGGAGTGAGTGGAAAGACACAGAAGACTGAAGAAATAAGCAGGAGTCTGGACAGACAGGTTTAATAGGTTAATTTGGTCTTTATTCTCAGAGCAAGGGAAAACCAGTGAAGAGTTTCAATAGAAGGAAACATGATCACATTTGCACTTTTGAAAGTTGACTTTAATGACTCACAGAGGGAGAGCCAGTTCAGAATAGATAGTAGACAGATTTAGTTGCCTATTACGGGAGTCCAGGATTCAGATAGTGGTGGCTTGGATTAGTGGTGGTAGTGGAGAAAAGAGTCAAGTGAACAGCTACTGTAAGGGAATGCAAAGGTTGCATCTCTGCTTTCAGTCTTAAGACACTAGGTAGATACTGGTGCCTTTTACAAGTTAAGGAACACTGGAGAAGGAGCCAGTTGGAGGGAAGATTTGGGTCTTGGTTTTGAAAGCTATGGCACCATTCAGAGCTCCTAAGTAGAAATTTCAGTTAAGCCATTGGTATGTAATACAGGTATCTCTGCCTTTCAAAAGCTGATTTACTTGATGCTACTTCACTTTTACATTAGTACTTACATTACATTTAAACTAGTACCTGTTTTGGCTAACCAAAAGAAATACAAAGAGAAAAATAAGTCTAACCTTTACAAAAGTTTCCATAGGGAACCCTCCACTTTCAGATAGGAGGGAAACCTGTATATTTTTTTAGAGACACAGTTGCTGCTCTTTTGCAAATAAACTTTGGGTGGGGGAGAGATCTGAAGCAAAGATATAAGGCTATTGCCATTATCCAGGTGAAAATTGGAACAGGATGTTAGTGATGGAGGTGGGGTGATTGGATTCTAGATATGGCTTGAAAATTGGGTTCACAGGATTACATGTACAGTCGGGAAGAAGATGAAGCCAAGAGTCATGACTTGGCAACTTCATCTTTTCCATTGCTTACTTACTGAATCAGCAAAAACTCAATGGGCAGGTTTAATGGGATGGTGGAAGATCAGGAGTGTCATTTGAATACACTGAGTGTTGCAGTGTCTATGAAATTGACAAAGTGAGTTGTCCAGTAGACAGTTGCATAGATGAGTCTGCAGTCCAGAGGGTGGCCTGGACTAGAGGAATGTAGCAGCTGAGAACAGACAAGTGGTAATTAAAGCCATGACACAGGATCAAGTCACCAAAGCCACGATTGTAGAGAAGTCCAAGGATGACTGAAACCTGGGGTACTCTGATGTTGAAAACTGAAGGAGTTGAGGAAGAACTAGCAGGGAAAGCCAGGAAGGAGTTACAATGAAGTAGAAGGAGAATTAGTAGAATAACGTATCCTGGGAGCTAGATGGAGAAAATATATTTAATGCTGCTTACAGGTAGATTGACCATTGAACTTGACAGTGGGGGAGATGACCTTGACAGGAGCAATTAAAATGGAGTTATGGGGTGAATGTTTGATTATGAATGGTTGAACAAAGAAGAGAAGCGAGAGACTGGGGAGTACAGAAAACTTTTTTTTAGCAATTAGGGGAACAGAGAAATGAAGCAATCACATAGAGGAATAAATAGAGTTAAGATATATATATATTTTTTAAGATGGGACAAATTGCAGTATATTGGGAAAGGCCCAATATAGAGAGAAAAACCAGTGGTACAGAAAGTTGAGAGGAGAATTGCTAAAGTAATTCTTCTGTAGTGAGAGCAATTGGGATCCTAGTGTAAAGTGAAAGGATTGGTTTAAAAAAAGACCATTAAACTGTTATTAGGTGGAAGGGGGGTACCTCTGGCATAAGCATTTCTGGAAGCCCCATGGGACGATGAGGTACGGTAGAAAGCTTAATTTCCATTTCTGTGGAATCACATCCCTTTGGTAAAGCTAGAAGCAGAGTCAGTGTCCAGAGTTTCCTTTCCATGTTGGAGCTGGGTCCCGTTCAGCAACAGACTAGTTGCAGTCTATTAGTCCATTGTGTGGTGTGAATGCAGGAGAGCCCCAAAGCCCAGAGTCACACAAGTCTCAAGATTCCCAAGAGCAGCAAGAGGAACCAAGAACACAGAGAGTGAATTCCTTTGTTCAGGGGATTAAATATCCCAAATTTGCCCCCTTGCAGTGGCCACACCCATTCTTGCCAGTGACCTCTGCTCCCAGGTATGATTGACAGTAAGTGCCTTCCCTAGTCCCCCAACATTACTGGGCATGTATCTGTCTTTGTCCAGTCTCCTGAGGAGTGTAAAGTTGTAGCTTCTGGTGAAGCTGTCCAAATGACATGCCTATAATGGTTGGCTTCCCGCTTTGCTTCTCTCCTCTCCTATCCTATATAATAAAGAGGGAATATGCAAATTGACCATCACTCTGCCACAAAGATGGCGGCGCCCATGGGGGATGGGGGGGATGGTTCCGTAACACAAGATGGCTGCACCCACAGCAGAGGCTGAGTTCTCGTAATGAGCCTTAACGAGCAATCAGCAGGGACCTGAGGCTGTGCTCTCCCCCCCACCCCTGCCCCAGTGGGGTTTGACAGGGGACCTCAGGCAGCGCCCCCCATCCTGGCGCCAGGCTGGGGGACCTCAGGCCATGCCCATCACCTGGCAGGACTTGATGGGGGACCTCAGGCTGCGGCCCCCACCCAGCAGGGCTTGACGGCGGATCTCAAGGTGCCACCCCCACCCCATTGCTGGGCCGGGGGACCTCAGGCAACACCCTCTGCCCGGCGGGGCTTGACGGGGGATCTCAGGCCGCGTCCCCCACCTGGTGGGGCTTGATAGGGACCTTAAGGTTCACCCCCTGTGCCCCGGCCCAGGCTTGGGAACCTCAGGCCGTACCCCCCACCCTGGCACGGAGCCAGGGGACCTGAGGCTGCACCCCTGCCCAGCAGGACTTGACAAGTGTGGGACTGGCCAGGTCTGGATCTAGCCCAATGCGGGGGGGTGGCTGGCCGGGTCTGTGTCTCGCGCGATTTTGAGGCGCATGTGGGTGGGCAGGGACCTGACTCTGGGTCCCATGGTGTGCCCCATACTCTGACAGGAGGAAGATTTTCATACACATTTTACTAATTTCCTTTCATCTCTGACACTTCTATTATAGAGAAAGGGCAAATAGCAATATTAAAATATTTCCTCTAATTAATCCCCTTCTAATGTGCACAAATTTTGTGCACCAGGCCACTAGTCTATGTATATAAAAGTCTAAGTGACCAGAACAACCAGTCAACCAGTCCTGTTGCTCCCACAGCCAACCTCCCGCGGTCCCTCCCCCAGTTCAGCAGGCCCTGGCCATCCCGGCCCCGATCAGAACTGGGTAAGACTGCCCCAAAAGGCCCTGATTGCCGGCCAGACCTAGGGACCCCACCCGTGCATAAATTTCATGCACTGGGCCTCTACTTATTAATAACTAGGTTAATTACAATGGTATCAAAACTATGTATCCAATTGACTCTTACTTTTTAAAAAAGCATTTAACAGTTGTTGATTTACTGTGTTCTCTCACATTTCATTAAATTTCTTTTTCTTTTGAAGTGGAACTTGCTATGATCATGGACCGGCTGTATGGTGGAGTTTGTTATGCAGGAATTGATACAGATCCTGAGCTAAAATATCCAAAAGGTGCTGGTCGAGTTGCTTTCTCCAATCAACAGAGCTATATTGCTGCCATCAGTGCTCGGTTTGTGCAGCTTCAGCATGGTGATATTGATAAACGTGTAAGTTGTAATTCCGAAATCATTTCTGCCCTATGATAAGGTGCAGATAATAATAATGATGAGTTAATATAATTCAAATATTGAATATTTTTATACTCCTTTAACTCTGAAATGTCAAAGTTTTCAACATACTTTAAACTTTGGGTATAATATAAAAAATATAAGTGTCGTTTTAAGGCATGTTAAAAATTTTTATTAGCCAGTAAGGTCTTAATATTCTTCTAACCATAGAGGTGGAGCTTGGTTTAAGAGGTTGTACTCTGGAGCCAAATTACCTGGGGTCTCCTTTCCACTATTTGCTCTGTAATTCTGGGCAAATTAACCCTTTTGTGCCTCTTTTTCCTCACTTACGAAATGGAAAACAGTAATATTATGACCCTCACAGTTATTTTTTTTAATATATATTTATTAATTTCATAAAGGAAGGGAGAGGGAGAGAGAGATTGAAACATTAGTGACGAGAGAGAATCATTGATCGGCTACCTCTTGCACACCCCACACTGGAGAGCAACCCCACAATCCAAGCATGTGCCCTGACTAGGAATCGATCCATGACCTCCTTGGTCTGTAGGTCAATACTCAACCACAGTGCCATGCTGGCTGGGCTTGCTCACAGTTATTTTGAGGATTAAATAAATTCACATATGTTGAAGCACTGAGAACAGAGCTTGGTACTAAGTGCTATTTAAGTGCTACTTATTTTTCATTTGTTATAAAGTCTATCCTATATAATAAAGAGATAATATGCAAATTAACCCACACACCCTCACAAGATGGCTGCCTACGACCAGGCCGGCAGGGGGTTAGTGAGGGACGACCAAACGACTGAACAAGCAGGCTGCATGGGGTGACCAGGCTGGCAGGGGGGTTAGTGAGGGACAACCAAACGACTGAGCATCAGGCTGTGTGGGGTGACCAGGCCGTCAGAGGGGGGCAGTTGGGGGTGACCAGGCTGGCGGGGGGGGGCAGTAAGAGGCAACC